AATTTTTTGCACAAGAATAATAAATACCGTAGCGATCGCGCACCCCCATTTTCGACATTTTGTAGAAATTTTCTTTGAAAGCTCCTAACTAGGTTCATTTCAGTCCGTTTTGGCCAAATCTTTTTTTGATCGATAGCAAATCTCTCTGGCTACGCGGTCACTAAAAATAATCAAAAGTTGTACTGTGATATGATAACGAACGTACAAGTGGATACCATTTTTTTTCGGGTTTTCCTGCTTTTTCTGCCGAACTAGGGCCTAAATCAAAATTCCGGCTTTCCCATTCGATGCGTAATTTTGATAGCTACAATAAAAAAAAAAGAAAACTGGATTTGCTTGAAAATTAAAAGAGTTAATAGGTTTTGAGTGAAAAATTAATGAATTGTGGTGGGGCACATGTTACACATGTTACAGGGCCGAAGGCCCTGTCCGGTCTGTTTGACATGAGCGAGCGGAGCGAGCAAAGGGAGGACAGACTAAACCTTGTATCAAATGATTCCACTGAGCCAGGGCCGAAGGCCCTGCATCTGATTCCACCTAATTGCGCGGCATAGCCGCGCCTAGCGGAGTCGGCCGTAGGCCGAGGACGCTAGTCTGCGTCTGAAAAATTGTTTTGGTAACTCAGTCTAAGTTTTCAGGGTCTAAAATGTCCTCTTCGGACTCTTCGACTCTTCGGAGATTTTTTGAGCCCAAAAACGAAATTGGGATGTCAAATATTGTGAGAACGCTGTTTTCATCGTTTCTGAAAAACTTGGACTTTTTCTGGAACTTTTCAAAAAAATTTCAAAAAATTACTTTTGAAGTGTGGACCCCAAGGAGATATTTATCAAAAATTTTCAAAAAAAAATTTTTTTTTGAAATTGTTCAAAAACTATTCTAGATGATATAGAAATGTTCAAAAATGAGGTTAGCATTCGAGAACATCATGAAAAACAAGTTTTAAAGCTCGGAAAATGAACATTTTTGGTCAAAATTTAGCACTGAAAACACTTTGAAAGCCCATATTTTGATTCCTATTGGATCCGGGGATGAGATATTGCTGACGCCGTTTTCAGCATGTTCGAAAGCACCTTTTCACAAATTTTGAGCAAATTCTCAACCCCCGTCTGAAAACACTTCCCTTGTCAGTCTAAGTTTTCAGGGTCTAAAATGTCCTATCTGCAATGCACGACTCTGAAATGTCCCATTTTTAAACTTCAATTTTTAAAAACAACAATCTTCAAAATTTACAGTTTCGAAACATCTGACTGATCCGAAATGTGTCTTGTTTTTTCAATCACCTTTCATTTTCAGTCGTGCTTCTCTCCCTGGTCTACGTCTTCGAGTGTCGTAGCCGATCTATTCAAGAAAACCGTCTGAAATTCAGCTCCAAAGTTTTCAGAACCTTCTATTATCTAATTTTATACATCCTCCCCTCCCTGAGCCTTCTTCTATATTTCAAAGTTCCAAAAAACCAAGAACTCGGAAAACTTGAATCTCTAAAATCCTTTCCATGCCCTAACAAAGCATTTTTTCAAGAAGAGACTTTTGTCGTCCTCTCGGACCCCTGGTGGCTGAGTTTCACACTGGCTATTGCAATTCCAGCCATTGCAATTATAGTTTTTGCAAATATTATATTCCATGTGTCATGCTGTATCTACTATTTATACATGACACCTGGAGCATCAACATCTGTACGAACGCGTTTGATTCAACGGAGATTTTTCATTGGAATGTTCGCACAAACCGGAGTACCCTTTGTAGTTCTCGCGGTACCTTATACCTGTCTGGGAGTATCCATGGCTATTGATAAAGTGTCACAGGTTATCACTAATTTATCATTTATCAGTTTTGGATTACATGGGATTGTGGAGAGCGCGTGTATTCTTACTTTTCATCACTCTTATCGAATGTATGTGAAGCATTTGTTTATGAAGCCGTCTACTATTAAAAGTGAGTTTTTTTTTTGAAATTCCGTTCATATACAGTAGTAATTTTTAAAAATTCAAAAATATTGAGATTCTGAAGTTCTGAAGTTCTGAAATTCTCAGACTCTGAAGTTCCGAAATTCTCAGATTTCGAAATACTGAAATTTCAAAGTTCTGAAATTCTAAGAATTCTGAGATTTTCAAGCTCTGAAATTCAGGAATTCAGAAACTTCCTCAAAAAAAAACTGTACCCCCGAATCACAAGCGTTGTACCCCTGAATGAAATGAGTTGTACCCCGAATTTTCGGCAGAAATTCTACCTAGTTGACCCTCCGAAATAACACCTTCGATAGTCTGCAATTGTGTTTGTTTTCCTCAAAAAACTACGAAAAAGATGTAAAAACAAAAATTCATCATGTTCAGAATCATATACTCAAATTGATCTCAATGACCCCTATGAGACTATCAAATGCCCCCTGGGAGCATTTGGTCCGATGCCCCCTATGAGACATGGTGGGATGCCCCCTAAGAGACAACTTCAGGATGCCCCCTATGAGTTAGTGACCCCTATGAGTGTATGCCCCCTTTGAGCACGATGCCCCCTATTTCGATGCCCCCTGGGAGTATGGGCCTAAACAACTCAAAACACATCATTTGTATCATTTTGAGCATCAAAAATACATTTTCAGCTGACTTATGGCAAAAATGCCGACACATACCTATTTTACTCTGAGCATCATAACTCGAGAGTCCGACTTCCAAAATCCTTCAAAATGTTTTTCGTGCATATTTGGACACTGAGAATCATTTGAGACCTAAAATCAAAGCCAGAAAAAATTCTGAAAAAAGTGTTTTTGGATTCTCTGAACACTGTTACATCTGAAACTGCTCTGAAAATTCTGAAAATGAGAAATTTTCAAAAAACCGATTTTTATGTTTTTGGATTTCACAGCTATTCTCATGCAAAATTTCAAGTCTATTGAGCAATTTTTAACAAAGTTATGAATGTTCGTAAAAATTCTCCTCACCACTTCTCGCCACTGTAAGCCTCTCGAGTAGTTGAACATGTGGGCTTAAAGTTGGAGATGCCTGGCCCCAGCTGAGCTACGGTAGCGCCACCGTAGCTCAACTAATAGCGACGCGGCACCTCCAACAAAGAGCCCACAAGTTTAACTTTTCGAGAGGATTATACGAACAAAAACATTCGATAAATACATTTTCATATTTATTTTTTGGAACATTTATTTTTCAGTTGTTTCTGCTCATCGAAGCGTCACCTGAAATACTCATAATGTCGAAGGAAACGACCATCACCCTCGAACAAATTTATCTCATATCCTTCAAAAGATACTAAAAAATTGTCAAATGTTAATTGTAAGCATTAAATCATTATTTCATCAGTTGATCACTTTTTGATATCATTCAAAAAAAATAGATATGAATTGGGTCAATGTTCAAAATAAAACAATTTCTGTTTCGAAAATAAAGTTTTTGAGTATCACGAATTTTGGAATTTGTTAGTTCTATTTTCATACGTTTGGAGCAATTAAATTATCTAGAAAATTGAAAAATGAAAAGGAAAACTTTTCACAGGAAGTCTGAAAGACTTCTACATTTCTGTAATTCACTGGAAGTGAGATCGACAGAAATATGATCTCACACAGATAACATTTCACAGAAACAGATAAGTAATTTTTAGAACTAGAAATTTAGGAACAGGTTGTTCCAAAAGTTCGATAAAGCCCTAATAAATTCTCTATTAAATGAAATTCTGAAAAAAACAGGAATGCAACAAAAATGGAAATCCGGAGAATCGATTGACAATGATATGAAGTTTAAACAGATAAAATTTCAATGAAACGGAAAAATTTTGTACTAGAGATTTAGGAACAAGGTTTCAGAAGCCAATCTTTCAGACTCATGAGATCGCAAATTTGGGAATACTGTAATCCGAAATTTCAAAAACAGAAATTTCCGAATCGGACGTTTTGAAACCAAAAACTAGATTAGGACACTTTGAAACCGAGAATCTCAATACAGTAACCAAATAAAAATTGGAAATTTCAGAACAAGAATCTTAACAAACATGGAAAGTTCATTGAAACAAATCAATCGAAAATTTAGTTAATTAATAGGAAAAATTACAAGATAACGTATTCAACCATACAAATGTTAACACAAAAATAAACATACAGTTTTAATTAATAATTCAAATTCTCAAAAAACGAATTATCCTCCTTCTTGTACTTTTTATAAACAATTTCCTCGCGAGTCGCAAAGAATTTGATAAGAAGCATCGACTCATTATTATACATAAAATACACATTTGTGGGTCTCGTTTCATCCCTTCTTGGCAATAATTCAGCAGTTTCTTCTACATTCACATTTTCTGGTTCCTGATTTTCATGCAAATTCATCTCCATCTCAGTCACTTGATTTCTAGTCAGTACTTGTCCAGCTTGTTCAAAATCGAAATTCGGGCCAACCGCAATGGTGATCTGGTTTTTGAGATGCTCCATTATCTGGAAATTGATATAATCTCTAGTACGAAAGATAGTATGATTGGAAAAGCGCATGTGTGGAATGGCTGTGGGTAACAAGATCGCGGTCGGCCGCGGCCCGTTGCCATGGGTAAGTTGCTGTTCATCGAATCGTCCGTTTTTCTGGAAATAAGCTCCGGCAATCAGAAACTTCTAGAACCGCTGGCCCGCCGAACCCTACCTATCACCCACAGTCATAAGCTATTCAAAAACGTATTTTCAGTTGTTTTTTGGCCATTTTTTACCACTTTCAGAAGCCTGGAGCTCGGTTATCAAGTTTCCCATCACTTTGAAAAATATGGAGGGTGTGAAACAGACCTAGATAAAAAACTTTGCATTTACAGAATTTTTAGAATTTTCCTAGTTTTTCAGCTGTTTGCCGATTTATGGAAGACACCTGTTTTTTTTCAGAAAAATTCGTTTTTGTATATCTTATTGACCGAGACTGTATGTCAGAAACAGGGCTGCGTTCGGCCACGGCCAGGGCCTTGGGGAGATGGCCAGGGCCTTGGGGAGGGGACCAAATGATGTGTTTTTCGGAATTGAGCTCAGCGGACCCAAAACTTCTGGGCTGCTGAATCATGCAGATCCCAGAAACACATTCACGAAAAAGCTTGGTCCATGGCACAGGCCGCGGCTGCTGCCTGACAACTGCCTGACACATACGATCATAAAATAAACGAACCTCTGTCGAATACTGAAAAATGTTCTCACTCTTCAAAAAGATTCTAACAACATCAAACTGAACATAGGTACTAATCTTCAAATGTATCTGCAAATCCTGAATATCCAACTCCTTCGCCGTATCCCAATGCCTCAATTCAGAAGCGCCCATCCGATCAGACGTTATCATACTGCCAGTGAAGCCACTCTCCGTGTATTTTCGAAATTTAATTTTTTCAATAACGTCTTTATTCGTAATTTCCAACATCATTCGTGTCTGCCTCTCATTATCCAGACTATCCGCATACCAGTCAAGCTCTACTTCAAGATTTTGAACGGATATTGAGAAATCTGGATTCTCAAATGAGTTGTACAATTGCTCATAATAACTTATGAAGGGCTCAATTTCTGGATCGTATTTATTCCATTTTTCCGTTCGAAACACCAATGTGTCGATTTTTGAATGACGAAGACAATGGAATAGTTCAGAAGAGGCACACTGTTGGTATTTATTGAATCTATTGAATTTGGCATGATAGTTTCTCCAGATCAGTGTCGTCCCCTTTCGACATCTCCAATATTCAATTCTAACATCTTCTTTCTTCCTTTTCTCTTTTTCTTCATCGTCTTCTGAATGGATCATCAAAGTCTTAACCTTTCCATATGCTCTAGAGACAATTAGTGTGTGTACTGGAAATGGCAAATCTTGAATGAGGGTACTGTAGTTGGTGCTTGCATCCATTAGGGAGAATCTGAAAACGATTTTTGTGAAACTGACTTTTTAGATTCTAAGTCTTCAAGTATTCGGGAAATACTTTTCACAAAGCTCGCGCTCTACCGCACCCGCCTGATGGCCGAGTTTGGTTGGAAGATTTTGGTTGGCTGGCGGCCGGGGGCCGGCGGCGATATTTTAATTTTAAAACGATTTTTGATCTATTTTCTTCAATAAAACTTCATTTCTTAAAAAAACTGTGAAATTTGAAGTTTTATTGAAGAAAATAGATCAAAAATCGTTATAAAATTAAAATATTGCCGCCGGCCCCCGGCCGCCAGCCAACCAAACTCTTCCAACCAAACTCGGCCATCTGGGCGGTGCGGTAGAGCGCGAGCTTTGTGAAAAGTATTTCCCTAATAACTGTGAACACTCTTGTATGGTCATGACCTAAAAAATCCAAAATATTATGTCACGAGCTAGGAAGTCCGGAAAATTTGGCCATGACCTAGGAAATCCAAAAAACTAGGCCATGACCTATAAAATTTAAAAAATTGAATCATTTATGGACCCAAAAACTTAGGTCTTTAAAATCCAAAAAAAAGGTCTTGACCAAGAAAACCTAAAGAATTTGGTCATGACCTAAAAAATCCAAAATATTAGGTCATGACCTAGGAAATCCGGAAAATTAGGTCATGACCTAAAAATCCAAAAAATTAGATCATGACCTAAAAATCGAAAAAATTAGGTCATGACCTAGGAAATCCAAAAAATTAGACCATGACCTAGATAATTTGAAAATAGATTATGATCTAGGAAATTCGAAATTTTCAGTTCTCGGTCTCATTTCCTGTAAATGATATCAAAACGTGATGAACCAACAAAATGTTTATCATAATATCAACAACATTTTATCAGTTGACACATTTTCATTATCTTTTACAGAAATTGAAATGTATGGGCTCAAAGTACACTGTTCCAATAAAAGTTTACGGTACTCACCTTTCCAAAATATCAGCATTTTTCAAAATCGCTTCTTTAGACGTCAACCTCATGTGTCCAAAACTTGCTCTGTGTATCTCTTCGTAAACCGTTTCCACTTTAGACAGTGGAAAATCCACTTCGAAATACTGTCGACAAGGCTTAGGACAAAATGTCCTCTCATCTGAATCGTATTCTGTACATTCTGCTATGCTTTCAATTGGTTCACCCAACGCTTCAGTTCCTTTTCTTGCTAATGTCGTCATTATCTTTGTCATAAACGAGCTAT